GGTGTCAAGGAAAATACAATATAACATAGGTGTTAACTTTTATTTTTGCTGGGGGGGACTAGAGATGCTGCGCCTCCCCCACTCCCGGCATGGGCACAGCTGAGCTGAGCGGAGCTGGGGGTGGGGAGGGGCAGGGACGGATGCGGGTTGCCCACTGTGGGCTCAGGACTCCCCGCCCTGCTGACATCCCCCCAGGAGCCCTGTGCCAGCTGCACACACCTCCATGCTGCCACCTCTGTTGCTGCTGGGTGGGCAGGGGGAGCCTCACCATGGTGGCACAGCTGGCATGGGGAGCCTGCAGGGAGGGCAGCAAGGCAAGGAGCCCTGAACCCACACTGGGCAGCCCACATCCACCCCTGCCCTGCACACAAGCCTGGGGGACATATGACCCGCCATGCTCCTTTTACTGGGAATGCACGCAGTGGCAGGGAACTGCCCCACCCCAGATGAACCGCCAGTAGCTCTGTCCCACTCCCTGTCCTGGTCCTGGGCCCCATGCATCACCATGGCTGGGAAGTGCCCCAAAACCCAGCCCCTGCCCCACTCCCTCCCTCACCATGGGAGCTTCAACTTATGCCCTCCATAGACTTACCTGCAGGCAGCTGGGGGAGCTGCTCTCTACCTGCTGCTGTCTGGGGGCTGCATTCCTGGCCACATGCATGTGTGTGCATGCACGCATGGACATGGCGCATCCCACTCCCCGCAGCCCCTTGCTGGAACTCTGCCAGTCTGCAAGGGGAAATCTGCCATTTCCTTCGTTTTTCCATGGTGAACAGAAAACCCTCAACAATACTGGGACAAATGCTGTCCTGGAGTCATGCAGCCCAGGACCGGGGCTTGATGTTCCCACTTTGGAACTGTTCTGCTCAATTAGGGATAGATGGTCCCCCTACCATCTTCCGAAGAGGGGGGCAGGGCCTTCAGGCCTCTGCAAACTCTGTGTCTATATCAAAGCAGGTTTTAGCACAAGTTTTAGTGGGGCAGCTTTCTCCCAGGGCTGGGTTTAGTCTCCAACTTAGCTACAGGTTTTGATCTCCCTGCCCTGGTCCCGGGAGGTGATCTTTATGTGGGAGGAATATGAGGTCAGAGCAGATTTGAACATAGATTTTAGGGGGGCACAAATAATTTTGGAACAGGGATTTGCATCCAGCCTGGCTCTGTGTGTCAGTGTTGGTGAGATCTAACAAACAAGCCAAGTTTGAGTTGAAGTGATCTCTATACCCGGGGGGAGGGGGGAGTGAGGGTTTGGAGCAGGGTGAAAATTAGCCCCTGGAGCAGATTGTAGTAGGCAAAACTCCTCTCTGGGCTGGGGCTTGGGATTGCTTTCTGATCTCAGCAGGATCTAATGAACAAGCCAGGTTTGAGCTCTGCTTTCTTAGCATGCCTTTCCCTTTCAGGCATGCTAAAGCACTCTGCCATTTCTTTCTTTTTCTAACTGGGGTTTTTTAGTGGGAAGGGGGCATGGGTTCCTGTATGGCGGCCATCTAGATCATGTCTTGGCATAGTGTGGGCCATGGTTGTTCATGATCATGGTTGTTTGTGTTTGATCATGATAGAGCCATTTCATTTGTGTTTTTCTTTTTGACAATAAATCAGCCCCCGTGGCAATTAGTGTAGTGCCAGTCATTATTAAAACCATAATTTGTGCCACTGGCTTGGATATCTCCAGTGGCTGCAGGTCTGGGGTGGGATGCAGCCAGCTCTGGGTTGGATTGCCTTTGCTCATGGCTATATAGGAAATTGGGGTGCTGGGCCTGATCTAGCCTTGGATTGGGGGACATCAGCTGGCTTGGGGGAAATAGGGGAGGGGTATGTCCCATTTTGGGGAATCGGGGCTTATCCTGCCCTCCTGCCCCTAACTGAGAGGGGGGGAAATACCCCTCCAAAGGGTGCTATCTCCACCTAGTGGGTCTTGCAAATGCCCCCCCCCAAAAGTAATTAAGGGTCAGTGAGTTCAGAGCCCCTTCCTCCAACAGAACAGGAACCCAGAATCAGATAGATGTCAGTCATGTCAACCCGGTCCCTCACCTTGGTGTGTGTGTTCCAGACGTGAGGCAGGGGAAGGCAGGGGGGAGACAACTGTCAAACACCTGGACACATGGTGTGTGTGTGTGTGTGTGTGTGTGTGTGTGCATGTGCAAATGCACGTGTCCCAACACCTAGTTTTCCTATGTGTGTGCGTATGTGTATGTGTATCCATGGCCTGAATGTCTGGGTTCTATGCTTGAGTGTGAGAGAGATGGATGCCTGGGTGTCATGTGTGTGCGTATTCCAGACATGTGGGTTCTGTGTGTGTGTCCCAGATGCCTGGGGTGTGTGTGCATGTGCATGTGTCCCAGACGCTTAGGTTCTGTGCATGCATGTGTCCCGGACTCCTAGGGTAACACTTGTGCATGTGTGTGTCTGGGACACCTGGGTTCTGTGCATGTGTGTAGGTACATGTGTGTGTGCCCTAGGTGCCTAGTTTCTGTGTGTCTGTCCATCTATTGGACTAGGACTCCAGGAGTTCAGTGTGTGTGAGGGTGGGCAGGGGGTGCTCAGGTCTTGACATCAGTCCTGCCAAACCTCTCCCCAGTCCTTGGTGTTACTCTTGGCTGGCTAAATGACTACACTGGGGAAGACCGGGGCGGGGGG